TGGGAGAAGGAGCTGGTGATCAGCTCCGTAATTATCACAACCAAGAAACCCCTAGGGGGCTTTTCTGCTCTGTCCCATGGACTCAGCATGAGTAGAAATCGACTGGCTGGCACCTAACAGCAGCGGATTAGCTGGAGAGACAGACATTTCCTCATATATTACCGGATGTGTTTCTACCCTTTTGATTCAGAAATTACACTGTTAGAAATGGCCTTAAGAGCACAACTACAAAAAAAAGACGTGCATTAGGATGTTTGTGGCAGGTTGCCTATAATAAGGAAATTTTGGAACATTTCAGGACTGTTAACAATAACAATGGCACAGACATTAGCATTCAATGAACCCATTACAAATAACGCGGTAGAAGAATGTCTGACATCATAGGGAAATGCTCATGATCTGTCATTAAATTTTTTAAAGCATATTACAGAACAAGTGCCTAAGGCATTTGGCTGCTAACCAGAAGGCTAGCAGTTCAAACCCACCAGCTACTCCTTGCCAGGAAGACTGGGCAATCTACTTCCGAAGAGATACCGCCTTGGAAACCCAAGGAGGGGTCACTATGAGTCGGATCAACTTATCGGCAGTGAGTTTTTTTTTTTTTTATGTTAAAGAATTATTCTGTCCAAGGCTGCCTGATGACAAGGTTTAAGTCTCTGGGTCCAGCTTTGTTTGAGGCTGGTCTATTCCTGGACTTTAAGATAATAAAGGCCTCCTTTGCCAGGTTAACTGTGGGCTTCTGCCACTTGTAACCTAAAGGGTCTACAAAACCCTAAATGCAAGCTTCCAGCTCCTTTGTTTGCAACAAGCCAGTCACTGGATTTGGGCAATGATGCAGACATAGTTTGCAAGGCGTCTTCTCAGAAGGTAGAGCCCAAGGGGCACATCAGGAAGAGGGCATCTGAGGCAGGGCCCTTTCTGGGCTGGGACCTGGACCAACGGTCCCAAGAGACTGAGGACCAGTGGTTCCTGAGGAGGTAGCTGCTCGAGGACAAAGGTGATGTCAAGCCTGTTCCTGGTTCCAGACTGTGCTCCTGCCTTCTCTCTGCTGAAAACTTTCTGTGACGGGCTCCTTCACTTCCTCTGTGGCCCCTTCAAACAGCTCCTCCCCTGAGAAGCCTTCCCTGACTACTTGGCTGAGGGTGAGTCTTTGTCCCAGCTTCTGTTTACTCTGTGAGTGGCTCCCATCTATGAGAGCAAGGGCCTGATGTGTCCCTAGCTGTTGGCAGGGTCTGAGACATGGTAGGAATGCCATCAGTCTTTGTTTACCGAGAAAATGAGTGCCTGCAAAGACAGAGAGATAAGGCTGGTGTGAAGGCCTATTCCAGGCACTGACTGGGAGAGCGGGGCTGGTCCAAGTTCGCCTTTGGGGAAAGGTCACTTTTGTGCTGCTATCAGAAGGACACAGCTGGATAGGCCATGATAGCCATACGGTGACATGCTGCAGGTTCCCGTTTTAATTGATTCAGCACATTCCCTCTATTGGGGGGTGGTGGTGTCTTAACCTGATAGCAGAGTGTGAAGTCAGGAGCTTGCCTAGGTACCACCTCCCAGGAGGGATACTGGAAAGTCAAGGATGGACGGTCAAAGCCAAACCAGGCCAAGGACTATGGAGTTGGAGAACGAGCAGGGCTGAGGTACAGGTCTTGGGTATAGGGAGGCCTGGGCCACGGGCCATGGGCAGGCGGCAAAATTACTAACATGCTTGAGTGAGACCTCAGGTGGGCTGGGACAATGCAAAGATAGTATTGGATAACCCAAGCCACATGGCCAGATACGTATTTCCTTTTGTAAATTTCCTAGTACTTCTGTAGAAATCAAAGAGAAGTGTCAGCTTGGTGGTAACAGGTCTCTAACCCCTCTCACTCACACTCTCGTTCTCGCTCTCACTCTTTCACTTCTCTATTTTAGAAAGTCAGGGCCTGACTCTGGCACAGGTCTAGGAGGGACGTAATAGTGGCAACAGGTTCTGCTGTGTTTATATTTTATAGCTACCTTCTAATTATAGCAAGTGATTCTGATTTTCCATTTAGGGTAGCAACACGAAGTTTCTTTTCAGATAAATTTGCATAAGTAAAAGGAGACTGCTTGAAAGAAGATGGTGAGCAGATGATAGAATAGGTGGTGGCATTGCTGAGCCCCAAACGGCAGGATTGTGTGAGTGCGTGGGAGGGTCGTGGGAAGGCTGTTCTGTGCGGTCGCTGCTGGAGTGACTCAGCCCAGCACATCTTGGTCCTTGAGGACGGGAGAGGCCTGCCAGGGAATGTGTCGAGTCCACTCACCACTACCAACAGGTGGAGTTGGAACTAGCTTTGCTATTCTAAGGCAGGGTCACAACTAGGGGAGGTCGGCTATTGAGCAGAGAACTAAAGGCATGCTAGGCCTTGGGGTCTGGAGCCCACCCTGAACTGAACCTCCCAGCCTGGAGCTAGGAAGTTTTGCCAGGCTGGCGGGCACCTTCCTTGGCCTTGTGGTTGATCCAGCACCCACAGGTCCAGCTGGGCAGTCCTCAAGGGCCTCCTGGAATTGGAAACCAGGACCATCTGTCTATCCTGCCTATCAGAGCATATCATTTTGATGTGGACACTCTGGGTCTGGACCTGGCACTGTCCTTGTCTCCATGTGTGACCTTGAAGGGATCACCTCTTCAGGCCTCAGTTTCCCCTTCTAGAAGGAGAGATGAGTGAGATGAGCTTTAAAGGCCCTATGGGTGAGAGAACCAGGGATACATCCTCTGCCCCCTTCTCCTGCCCCAATGTGGAGCTTGGTGAGGATGCACAGATTTGGAGTCAAACAGGCCTGGTTTTAATTTCCTGCTCTGCTACATGTTAACTGTGACCTTGGGAAAGTCACTGTGTTCTTCTCTGTAAAATGGGATAACACCATCTCTTGAACATAGCGGGACTGGCAGTAATACGAAGAAAGCCCCAGACACACAAAAGGGCTCTGAAAGTCCTGGACTCGCTCTTGAAGTGCCCTTCTCCTTGAGTAAATTGAGAAACTTGAGAGCTTTCTGTGTCTGAAAGTGTCCGTCTGACGTCTAAACTCTAGGACAGAGCCTGACTGGGCCACTACCGTTGTTGCCACAGGGTGTCGCTATTGAACAGATTCTGGTGCAGTTTAGTGAGCGCTTGTTCACTGCTGCAGTGATCCCTTTGCTGGGTCAGATCCGTGCACAATCAAACTGGTACCTCACCTTAAGCTTCCCAACCTTTTCAGTCCACAGTAAGAAACTCAGCCAGATGGTTTGGGTTTGCAGCTGCTTCGAGCCTGTATCACCAGCTCCAGGCCCTGTGTTGAGTCCAGGTCATTGGTCCAGATTCCCCTTCACACTGGGGCCCTTTTCCTGACAGCAGACCTCTGTCAAAGGCATCCTAACCCATAAGAGAGAATCTAAGAACACTGACCCTTAAAAGGGAAGGTGTTGAGGATTCAACTCTTTTCTCTCCAGAGGCTCCTTTGAGTACCCTGTTCCACCCCACTCCTGGGCCGTATCTATATAACCTAAGGAGGCTATCTAAGAGATTAGCTAAAAAAACTAGTTGCTGTCAAGTCAGTTTTGACTCGTGGTGACTCCATGCGTGTCAGACTAGAAACGTGTCCCATAGAGTTCTCAATGGCTGATTTTTCACCAGATCACCAGGCCTTTCTCTGAGGCATCCCAGAGCAGACTCACCGCTAACTCTTCAGTGAGTAGCTGCATGTGTTAACCATTTGCATCACCCAATGACTCCATTTAAAGGACCCAAAACCAAACCCACTGGCATCGAATTGATTCTGATTCACAGTGATGTTACAGGACAGAGTAGAACTGCCTTATGGGGTTTCCAAGGCCGTAAATCTTCACAGAAGCAGACTACCTCAACTTTCTTCAGTGGAGAGGCTCGTGGGTTCAAACCACGAACTTTTTATTTTCTTCTTTATCTTCTCTCTCTCTCTTTAAATTTTTATTGTAATTTGGGTGAAAGTTTGCAGAGCAAATTCATTTTCCATACAGCAGCCTATACACATTTCGTTTCATGACATTGACTGCAATTCCCCACAATGTAAGGGCTTTCTTCCCACTTCCTCCCTGCAGCTAGAACCACCAACCTTTTGGTTAGCAGCCCAGTGCTTTAACCACTGTGCCACCAGAGCTCCCTATTTAAGGGTTAGTTCCCTTATAAATGAAAATCTACTCCCAGGCAACATGTTGTGTCATATTTTTGTGCAAAAAACCAGGCACCTTCTACGTTAGTTTGCTACTTGCACCCTCCCCCTGTGAGCACTTTTCATAAGTGCTGCTATACCATTTGAAAAAAAAAAACCGATGTTGTTTTCATAACAATACAGTACTGTCCTAACTACAGAAATCGTTGACAATGTTCCTTGCTAAAAAATACCTCGTATCATAGAATCTCATGACATTATTGTTTTCCAGCCAATACCCCCCACCCTTCCAAGGATGACATACAACCCCCACCCCAGGGAAGACTGTTCTGAGGAGCAACAGGCTTAATTTGATTTGCTGAGATGGATGTATTTGCTAAGAAGAAAGAGCTAGAACACTTGAGATAATGGGTGAGAATATTTTGTAAGCAATGTTGAGCAGGGAGGAGACAGAAAAGACTCAGGACAGCTGTGGAGAGCTGTCTGAGAGGAAATGGATTACGTTTTTTGGATGACCTGCAATGTAAACCTGAACCCAAGCTTCCCAGGAAAACATCAGTAAGATCCATGTTACTTCCCGATGCTTTGGGAGCTGGGTTTCTGGTTTTGAGATGAAGTGATAAGCTTGGTCCCAAGGGGACACAAGATGCAAACAGAGACTTCTAAGGCGGTTCAGCCACACCTTTGTCAATTCAGAAATAGAGGACCAGAGAGGGTAAAGGGCTTGCCCAAAGTCACCCAGTAAGAACCAAAAATGGCTCTTCCCACTAAAAATGAAACCCAAACAGCCCACTAAACAATAGTGACCCCCAAGTCTCCAGCTCCTCGGAGTGGGCACCTGCCAGGCTGGCTTAGCACAAATATTCTCTGACCGTGAGTTCCTTCAGGGTGAGTCCCCGGGTGGCGGGCTTCCGGAGCTGGGTCTCCTCCAGTCTCTCTTGCAGAGACACAAAGTCCTTGCCCAGCGCGTAGGCCAGGCGGGCCATGGCGTCCAGCAGAGGGGCATAGTACCGGTGGCTCTCCCGGGCCTGCAGGCGCTGCAGGGCCCTCTCGCCAGTGGCGAAGGCCTCCAGGGGGCGCTCGAGGTCACGGTGGCACACCAGCATGGCGCAGAGGGCCGGGACCACCGCGACGGGGCAGTGGCGGGTCAGCTTCTCCTGCAGCGGCACCACGCGCGTCAGTATGTCCAAGGCCTTGGTGTATTGACCCGCGCGCAGGCAGCCGAAGGCCTCCCTGAGCTCGGGCCGCGTGAGGAAGTCGATGAACTCGCGAGAGCGGCGCACGCAGCGGATGGTGTAGAGCAGGCTCAGGTACTCCTTGAAGGCCAGCTTGCGCTCACAGATCATCTCCTCGGTGAAGTTCCCCATCAGGCGCTTCTTGGGGAAGGCGACGTCTTCGATCTCTTCCCTGAAAGTCTTTAGGAGATTTTTCTGGAGCTGCTCGAAGTCTGAATAGCGCCGTTCCAGGACGGCTTTGTTGCTGTCAAAACTCCCCGTCTGGATGACAACGATTTGGTACATCTACGAGGCAAAGAGAGAAGGTATGACTGCAGCCTGGCTGAGGGTTTGGACTGACAAGAGAGCACCCAGGCAGGTAAAAATAATGATGCCGATGATTTAAAACATACCCAGAACATGGGTTATCGTTGCCTGAAAGTCTGTTTGAAAATGCCGTGGAACTGGCAGAACGACACAAACTAATGAGAAGAGCCCACCCAAAGTAACAGACATGGCAAAGTGGAGCTGTCTCTGGGGAGAAAGGTGAGATGCAGGGAGGCTGGGCTTTGTCTTGACTTTGCATTTTCAAACCTGGGCCTCAGTTGTCTGAAACCGGAAGCTTGGATCTGACCTGTGCTCTCCAAGCATTGAACACTTGGGAGATGCTTTTAGGTGTTATACTGGTAATGATGGGATATGTGAAGAAAATTACTACTTTTTAAAATTTTTCTTTCCATGGGCATAGAGAATACTGATTAAAGACACAGATTCTGGAGCCAGACTGACGGGGTTATAATCCCAGCCCCACCATGTATGGTCATAGACAGGTAATTTAACCACTTTGAACTTGTAAAATGAGAATGTTAATAGTATTCTCATTGGATGGGTATTAGATGAGTTGGAACTGTGCCTGACACACAGGAAGCACTCAATATTAGCTGTTATTATTATTATGGTGAAAAGAAGGGAGGAGGAGCTCTGGTGGCATGGTACATAAGGCATTTGACTGCTAACCAGAAGGTTGGCAGTTCAAACCCACCAGCTGCTCTGAGGAAGGAAGATGGGACAACCTACTTTTGTGAAGATGTACTGCCTGGGAAATCCAGTGGGGGTTGCTATGAGTCAGAATTGACTTGATGACAGTGGGTTTTTGGTAATTAAGGGAGGAAGGTTGATTGTGGCCTCTATATTTTCTTGTGTTGTTTATCAATGTCAAGTCAGTTCTGATTGATGGCAACCCCATAGACAAGAGAAGGTAATATTGCCTGGTCCTGTGCCAGCTTCAGAATCATTGGCATGCTCAAGTTCATGATTGCAGCTGCTACGTATTTTGAGTGGCTGCCAACCTAGGGGGCTCATTTTCCAGGACTCTACTGTACAGTGTTCTGTTATGAGTCTTCAGGTTTTCACTGGCAAATTTTCAGAAGTACACTGCCACACCTTTCTTGCTAGTCTATTAGTTTAGAAACTCCACTGAAACCTGTCTATTTTGGGTGACCCTGCTGGTGTTTGACATACTGGTGGCATAGCTTCCAGCGTCATAGCAACATACAAGTCCCTACAGTATGACAAACTGACAGACAAGTGACAGCTATAGTCTGTAACATTTCCTAACTCAGCTAAACATTCTTTCCTAACAAAGAGAACAGTCCTCAAGCTGAGGGGTCTCTACCAGGCAAAGCAACTGTCTAGAATCTATTTTATGTATTATTACTGGTTAACCTTCCTTGTATTTGTTTTTGTAGTGACCTTTTTTTCTGCCTTGGAATTCTGGTTTTCCATTGAAAGAATTTCCCTTTGCAATAAATGTATTTATTATATTTATTTTAGTGTTTGTTAAAAACTGATCCAATTTAAAGAAACAAATGAAGTAATCATATAAATGCTACAGGGAGGTGACAAAGCCCATGAAGAAGGGACATAGATTACTGATAACATAGGCTTGAATTATGTGTTGTTTCTGGGGTGTAGACTTTGTTGTCCCAACGGGGCTATTTCCTTCTCAGGATCAGGGACCACAACTTAGATGTCTCTAATCCATATAGTACCTAGTTCAGTGCCGAGCACATAATAGGTGGTCAAGAAATCTTACTTTTTGACCATTTTCTCCAGAAGAACTCTGTGAGTTGGAGTGTGTCAACCCATTTCATGACTGGGAAGGCAGAACCCCCACAGGGCTTGCCCAGGGCCAGAAAGGAGGCAGTGTAAGAGTGTGATAGATCATTGTTTGATCTCGGCTTACCACGAACTTGGAGGCCTTTCTCTCCTCAATGTGGGCCGACGCGATCTCAAAGAGCAACTTGACGTGTTTCCAGTGGCCTTTCTCGTTCCTCCAGTACTCCTGCAGCTCTCGTGTGGTCATGTTGGAGTTGGGGTTTACGATGCTGGGTGCATCTGGAAGGACAGCATGCTTTGAGATCTGCACCAGCCTGTGTGCTTCACAGCAAAGGCTTGGGGAGATGGCTGGGTCTGTCTGGGGTGGGACCTCAGAGCTCCTGAAGAGGGGTGAACAGCTCTTCCCTCCAACCCTTCTATTTATAGACCCCACCAGAGCCATCAACCAGATCTCTCTGCCCAACCTGGCTGAATTCACCCACCATCAACCAGCCACAATGGCCGGTATCGGATTACCCAATAAGCGAGGTAAGCACAGGTTAACTTGTGCTTACTTGCTAATCTATGTTGAACAATTTCACATTTTTTCACCGCATCAAAGATTCTGCTTCTACATATGGCTGCCATCTGTCTCTCTCAACCCCACAACACCTTCCTACAGAATCAAAGCCTCTTTTCAAATTTACAGTCCCTGACAGGGACGGAGTACCCAGTAAGCAAGTAAGCATGACCTTACTTGTGCTTACTCACTAATGTGTGGTGAACACTTTCACATGTTTTTGTGGTGAAACCTGTGTGAAACTGTCCACTACTGATTGGTAAGTAAACACAAGGAAGCCTGTGCTTACCTTGTTTATTGGGTAATACGCCCCTACAAATGGCCTGCCATCCTGAGGAGGTGCCTTGGTTCTGAGAGGCTGTGGTGTGTGTGTGCTGCATTGCCTGCTCCTGGTCTGCGGGTTGCTGTCATGAAACTCCATGCTCCTGGGACTGGCGTGTGGCTTGCCCATCTCTGCACAGAGCCTGTAGCACTGGTGCTGTGGTTGTCACCAGGACCCCTCGAGCCCACACCAGTATGGTGTGGGGATGTGGCATTCCAGGCTCTGCCTGGCCAGCCCCTACCTGACTCATGCCCCACCTGCCGTGCTTCTTGCCCCTGTCTTGTACACAGGCCACTCCTGCTTTGAGTGCAGCCCACCTCTTTCCCTGCTGGGAAACTCTACCAGTGTTTCTTAAACTTTCTGTGAGCCCTGAGCCCCTGTGAGCATCTTGGGAAAACTCATCGTCCCTCCCCAGCAGAATGCACACATGATTTTCCAGTTTATTTCAAGGGGTTCTGGGTTTCAGAAGTCTTTCTCCAACGTGTCCATCAAGGTCCAGCCCACATGCCATTTCTACTCTCTCTTGACATTAGTGTAAGAGCCTCTCATCTTGTTCCTTTGGCCTTTTTGATGACATTTAAAATTGCTTTTGAATGGTCTACTTCCTCATCGAACTTGAGAGGCAGGCTAATGTTTGACTTGTTCCTGTTTCCTCAGTGCCCTGTGTAGGGCCTGCAACAGAGCAGGTCTTCGGTCGGCACATCTTAAATGATTTCACGAATGGATGAATGTGTGAATAAGTGGTGACTTGTTCTAGGAGAGGCTGTCAGTGCCCAGCCATGCTGGTTCAGCATCTACTATTCCAGTCCTTTCCACTGGCTTCCTCCTGGAAGCGCCTGCCACTTATGGCCTGAGGGCTTTCTTGGGGCCTAAGAGCTTGCTCAAAAGCCTCCCCCAGTGGATGAAGAATGGAATTTAGTGGCTAGATAGCCTGGCTTCCTTGTCACTCAGATGGGACAATTCTGAGATGTATCCTATACTACACAGTCTCCCAAAGGATCCCCATTAGGACTAAGCCCCAGTTGCCCACACAGCAATCTATTCATTGACACTCTATACTGGCTTCTTGTCCATCCCTTCTTCACTCCCTACCCCCCACTGCCATGCCTCCTTCAATCATCTCCCGGATATATGACTTGAACCCAAATCCTTGTCTCATTGTCTACTCTGGGATAACCCACATTAAGAGAGCTGCCCAGCTAGAAGACGCCATTACATACATTGAAGTGACCCTCATGCTTGCTTCAAATGTCTTCAAACTTCTACACCCTGACCAAACCCCAAGCATCAAGCCCACCTAAGTTTTCTTCAGGTCCTGAGTGTGGGAGGTTTGCACCGGTGGCTGGTGTTTCCTGCTGGGTCCTTGCCATACACTGGGCTGTGTGGTGCCCTGTCCAGCCAGGATTCCCAGGGTGCTTGACACTTGCCATGCTCCAAGGCTGCCAAGGACACAAGAGAGATCAGTGAGTGCCCACTCATGTTGGGGTTCCTGTGATTTCTGGGGAGCCTATGATCTGTGTCATATTTCCTGCTGGCAGGCAGAGAGGAACGACAATCACCCTGCTTCTGAGCCCTCCACCAGCCACCCAGCTGCCCATATTCTGAACCTGGGGCTGCCCCTTTTTATCCAGTGTGGTGTGGAAAGCTGTACAGATCACTCCCGGGTGTGTTTCTTATTGTCCTGTACAATCCTTATTGTATTGTCATGATCCTTACACTAAAAAACAAAAAAAACCCAAACTTACTGCCGTCAAGTTGGATCCCACTCATACCGACCCTTCCTTGGGTTTCTAAGGCAGTACCACTACAGAAGTAGAATGCCCAACCTGCCTTCTGAGGAGTGGCTGGTGGGTTTGAACCACCAGCCTTCTGGTTAGCAGTCAAGTACCTTATGCACTATGCCACCAGATGAGTGATCTCAAGCAGAGATAATGGCTCCAGTGATAATTGGGAGAAAGTTGCTGGTTTATCGAGATGAAAGTTCCAGTATTCCATTTTATATTACGTGTGTAATGAAATCCTCATGTTCAGAGCAGGTGGACACTGGTCTCTCTCTGTCTAAGCAAACATTCACAGACAGCTTACCATACCTACTTTGTATCCACCTAGGTTCTTCATATCCACTATCTTATATAACACTTACAAAAAAACTATCACTACTCCCAAGTAACAGATCAAGTAACTGAAGCTTAGCCCACAGTCACACAGCTTGTGAATGTGCCACAAAGCTGAATTGGTCTCAAATGCTTTTTCCATGCCAGGCTGAGTACTCTACTCCCAACATGTTCTCTCCCCCTTACTCAAACCACCCTGGGTGATCTAGACTGTTGTTATGTCTGTTTTGCAATAAAGGAACTGAGACTTAGGGTTGCCCAAGATCAAGAACTCGTAAGTGGTGGACAGGCCACAAACCCAGGCGGGGTTGACTGCAGAATTTTCTCCACCTTCCTGAGGGGTGAAGTGCAGGCAGACAGAGTTTATAGAATAACTGTATTAGCCAGATAGATGACCAGTTGACATGGCACCTGGAAGCTATGTAACGTCTCTGTGCCTCAGTTTCCTATAAAATGGACATGATAATAGATCCCACCATCATGAGGCTGGTGCGAAGATTAAGTCAGACAGACCGTGTGAAACATCAGTTCAGGTCCTGGCACATACTGTAATAATATAATACTATAACAGGTGTGATAGTTAAGGTCGCGGGTCAACTTGGCTGGGCCTGGATTGTAGTTATTCCCCATGATGAGAGTGGCAATCACCTCCATGGCGGAATCTGCCGCAAGCAGCTGAGTAGCTGCTTTAGGGACGTGGCCTGCTTCTAGTAGTAAATCAGGAGAAGCTTTAAGAATGGTTTGTAGCTTTTTGGCGCGCTTGGATCCTGCATGTAGCCAAGGCTTCATTTAGCAGCCTGCCATGTTTCCTGCTGATCTTACAACTGTCTCTGGACTTGAATTGGTGGCTTGCCATGTTGTTTGGTAATATTGGGACTGTGCCTTTTCAGTTGTCAACCTTGGGTTTGTCAGCCTTAGCAGCCAGAAGCTGTCTGAGTGAAGAAAGCCTCCAGCTTCAGTGGGCTGGGAGCAAGGGGCAGAGCTGAAGCCCAGGGTTGAGGGGCTTTCATCCAGTCCCTAGAGCCTGGCATTTTGAACTCAGACTTCCAGCCTCCAAAACTGTAAGAGAATAAACCCTTGTTTTCTAAGACCACCTATTGCTGGTATTTTCTGTTAAAGCAGCACAAAGTAACCAAAACAATAGAGACTATCATATAATATTCCCTATTATGGTCAAACATAGGTTTGATAACATGTGATATATATGTTGATAAGTATTTGTGAAATAAGTACTCTAATAAATTGTAAGTTAGAATAGAATAAAACATGTCCAAGACAAATTAGGGAGTGGGACAATTAAAAAATTGTTACTCAGGCAGAGTGAGTAGTAGGGTACCACTTACTGACAGAAGTTTGAAATAAGAAGGATGCAAGTTACCTCACTTCCTTCCCAAGAAGATCTGAGGAAGCCACAAGTGGGGCATACGGTACAGAGCTGAGGCCTGAATTCCTGTCGTTTGGGTTCTGGGCCTTGGTGCTGAACCTCTATGCTGACTATGGCCTGGACAGGAGTAAGGCCACTGCTGCCTGCACATCCCCTACTAGTCCCAGAGTGTGACCAAAGCCCATTCTTCCAGTGATGAGGGCCTCCTGGAGTCAGCCTAGCCTGGGGAGAGGTGAGGTGGGCTGAGGCTGGGAGCTCTTGATTCTGTCTAGTGGAATTCCCAGTGGCTTCGTGCAGTGGTTCAGTGAGGGTGGTGGCCCTTGATCCAACCTCGCCTTTGACAGATGGGAAACTGAGTGGGAACAGGAGTGTGGCATAGAGCTGTGTGTGGTAATAATTATTTCCCTGAGGGCACATACTTCATTTCTGTCTTATCTTCCCTGAAGGAATCAGGAGACCTAGCCTTCCATCTTGACAACTGTGGGTCTTTCAGCAAGCCGTTTAATACCTCGAGGTCTTGGTTTTCCCATGAACAAAGTGTGGTCACAATCTCTATCTTGCTGAAAAGATGATAGATGGCTTGGGACATGTTCTCTATGTTCTGATAGGTGCCGGGCAAGAGTGTGTGGGAACCACGGGCTCTCTTGACTAATGGCCTCTTGGTGGCTGGGATTCTTGGGGCCCAGTGTTTCCCGGGGGCACTCCTATCTACTTGCCTCAGTCAGCTTATCTATAAAATGGGTCATAGTGAGAGGCGTTGGACTCAATAATCCCCGCCCTTCCAGCCCTGCTTTCATGATCAGCCAGAGGGCTTTGTAAGATCCCAGGAATGATGATGGCCTTGGTTAGACACTCCAGCAGAGACCTGGCAAAGTTGAGCGTGAACCCAAGGCTTAGAACAAACATCCGATTCAGCGGCTCATAATGGAGCTTAACATTATGGTGGCCACTCAGTGAGGAGCAGGAAGGAGACAGGGGTACTGAATTCTCCCATGGGGTCTTGGGCAGCTTCACATCTCTCCCCAGGCCTCAGTTTCCTTGTCTGTGAAATGGGAAAAATAACCCTGTGATTCTAAAAGCTCTTAGGGACAGCCACACATGGGGTTCCATGGACCCTTCCCTCCTGGGTCCACACCTTCTTTAGCGAAGATTTCTAGACTTCACAATAAAACACTGCACATGTTGGTGCTGTTGGCTTAGAGGCCTGCACTTGGCCCATGAGACAAAGCAGCTTCCTAGCACGTCTACCAGCCACCTTCTCCTTCCTTGCCCACCCTTCCAGGAGCCCTGCCACCCCCTTTCCAGGAGTGCATGTCCACTCCTCCTTCTGCTGGGCAGACAGGGAAGACTGCAGAGACCTGTCACCTGGGTGAGACTCTGGCAGGGCAAAGTAAGGTGCACTGGTCCACTCTGAGAGATAGGAGGCCCCAGGACGCTGGATGTGACAGCTGCCCTAGTGGGGAAAGGATGGGCACCATGGAAGCCTTGATGCTCACCTGAGGAATCCTTGCCAAGGGCAGGGGCTAGACAATGCAAGAAGGCATCAGAATCTCCTAGTGGTGGGGGCATCAGGGCTTGTTATAAAGCAGATTTCCTGGCTCCCGACACCAGACAGTCTGCTCTAGCAGGTCTGACGTCAGCCCTGGACTCTGCATTTTTCACAAGTGCCTCAGAGGTAGGCTGATACAGGGGTTCCCCAACACTACTTTCTGAGAAACACATCTTGTTCCCCAGGCCTAACAGGGGTTGTAGAAGTTTCTGGCATTTCCAAAGGGATTGAGGTGTTGGAGAATGGGAACTACTTCCTGCTATGCCCCAATCTCTAAAAAGAGTCCCACACACAGAGGCCGTGACTTGCCCTGCCCCCTACCAGGTACTGAGGAGGGAAACAGGAGGAGGGGCCTCAGGCCAAAGGTGGGCAGAGGCCATCCAAGCTTGGGATCAAACACTGACCTGGGACTGATGGGCCCTGTGGGTATCCAGAGGTCCAGGAAGGGTGTCACATTGTCTCCTTCAGGATCCAGTCTAAGCCCGGCAAGCAGATCAGTGGCTGGCGGTTCACTAAGTTCCCTGTTTGAAAACAGGAAATGGGGTATGACATGCTCCTGGTCGCCCCAGCTCATTGGCTGGTGAGAGACATAGATGAATTCAACAGACAGATAGGTTGCTGTACCCATTCCTCCCGCAACTGCCTACAGGACAGGGCTGGGCCAGTCCTGAGGGTCTTGCCCTGTCTCACTTTGGGTGGTCTTGCAGCAGTAGGGTTAATGCCTGGCATTTGGGCAGCAGTTTTCAAAGCCCTTGAAAAAATTCAATATCCCACCCTGTGAGATAGGCTTGCTGGGGCCATCATCCTCCGTTAACAGATGGGGAAGCTCAGGCTTGGAGCAGAGCTGGTGGGATGTAGTGCCAGAGCCTTAAGTGGAAGGGTACTGTGTGGGTTCACAGTCCCCTGTTTGTTGCTCTTTCTCTGGGCAAAGATGCATCCAACGCTACCAACAGGAAGTACCAGGGAAGCTAAACCCCTGAGTAACGATGAGACTCGGAGCCACCAGTACTTATGGCCTATTGATTGAGGACGAGAGGCTGGGACGGGACAAGAAATAGGGTCTCATCAGTCGCCGAGAAGTCCACCATGTGTCTTTTCCCAACCATGGTCTGCCCCTCTTCGCTGGAGGTAATCCCAGTCTTGATTCTCATGGGTGTCACCCCTTTGCTTTTCTTTCTAAATTTACCATCTATGAATATACCCCACAACAAAAGAGTTTAACTTTGCTTGTTTTTACATTTTGTGTTGCGTCTTGCATAGAAAGGAACTCTGGTGGTGTAGTGGTTAAGGCATTTGTCTGCTAACCAAAATGTCGCTGGTTTGAACTTACCAGCTGCTCCGCAGAAGAAAGATGAAGTGGTCTGCTTCTGTAAAGATTTATAG